TCCTTCCCTAGGCAGCTTCTAAGAATTTGGCCATGAGAGTGATTTATTCAGGTCACCAACAGCCCCATCTTTTTGCTCAGCCCAATAGACATAAACCCCCAGCCGTTATTGTCTCTGGTCCCCTCCACCCTTCATTTCCCAACACTCCTCTTAAATATTTCTCAACCAATTTCATTTCTTTTCATTTTTCTCTGCGGCCTTAATCCTACAGCCCTGCAAATCTACTCAACTATCTCTGGCACGCAGCCTGTTCCTTCTTATTATTAATAAGACTGAGAATAATGGATAATAAAAAAGACCTTACTTTCAAAGGGCTCTCGTGCCATCGACCCAGAGCCCCACAAGAACCATACACCGTAAATGGTGACATGCAGAGTGTAAGTGACCTGTCTACGATCAGCAGCTAGTTAGTGGCCGAGCCAAGTCAGGAATCTATTTTAAGTGGTATTATTTATGGCTTATCAGGAAATTATCATTTTAAAAACTAAGCCAGTGAAAAAGACAGTTGAGATTTTAAAGTGGACCTTTATTACATTTCAAGGGCAAGATTTATTCTCCTTCGTATTGTAATTAAAGTAAATGGAATAAAACTTGGTATTATATTTGCCTTTCCAACAACCTTTTGGAGACACCTGCATTGCTCTACAAAAGGAAAGCCATCTGTTCATGCATCATTGCGTTAAATACCCACTCACTCGTCTACAATTATGTGTTGCCTGCCTACTGTGTGCCAGGCCCTGGGATCAACACAGGGCACACAGTGGTGAGCAAAACAGATCAGTTCCGGCTCCGTGTGCTTAGAATCTAGTGATGAAGTCAGGTGTTAAACTAACATGTGCACCAAAAATGTATGACCAGAAACAAGCTAAGTGCCAGGAAGGAAAGGCACAGAGGCTCTGGTAGCCTCTAAGAAAGGAATCGACCTGGTCCAGAAATTCAGGAAGGGCTTCCTGGTGAAGTATCTATTGCCCCAGGAGACAAGAAGAAATTAACACAGGGAAAAGGACAGGGAAGGGAGAGCATAGGGGAGGTAGAATGTGCGGCGCCCCCTAGTGCATGGACCAAGTAGAGTGCTGTCGGGAATCGAGAGTCGTGGTGGTTGGGGGGAGTATGGTGTGTGACCAGGCAGCACAGGTGGGTGGGGTTAGATTACCCGGTCTTGTGAGCCCAGGCAGGGATCTAGGTCTCTTCCCAGGGAGCAATATAAAACTGCTCAGAACAGGGATTGACCTGATCAGATTAAATCCACTTACATGCTGGGCATTTGGGGTGCCACAGGGAAAAAAATGTTTTAACCCTCAAAGAATTTCCCGTCAGATTCCCTGGCATTAATAAAGCTCTGCTCAAAATTAGGTCAGATTTTTCTCAGAAATATAGGTATCACTCTTGAGCTAACAATGTTTTTTTAAAATATATAAAAGTTAAAATAATAGGCCAGGCACTGTGGCTTATGCCTGTAATCTCAGCACTTTTGTAGGCCAAGGTAGGAGGATCACTTGAGGCCAGGAGTTCAAGACCAGCGTGGGCAACGTAGTGAGACCCCCATCCCTACTAAAAATAAAAAATCCACCAGGCATGATGGTGCATGCCTGTCATTCTAGCTACTTGGGTGGCTGAGGCAGGAGGATCTCTTGAGCCCAGGAGGTCGAAGTTACAGTGAACTATGATCATATCACTGCACTTCAACCTGGATGACGGAGTGAGATCTGGTCTTTATTTAAAAAAAAATAATAAAAATATCTACTACCTCCTAAGCATTTGCTGCTTTATGTTTTTACTTATTATTTCATTCAATCCTTGCCTCAAGTTGTGAGCACTGTCACTCCCATTTCATAGATGGGGAAAATGAGGTTCAAGGAGGGATAGTAACTGCCCCAGGTCACACAGCTATGGGCAGATCCAAGGTTCAAACCTAGGACCGTCTGAATGTTGGCTCTGCCATCTCTAGGCTCCATAATCTTGGGGATTTTTGCCCAGAGATTCAAGGACAGCCAACATGACAGGTGTAGAGAATGTGTTCCTCCTGGAATGTCAAAGTTGTCAATGGGCTACACTTTGCCAAAGCCACTGGCCAACTCTTTCCTTGTCTTACTTGACCTTCAGTGCCAGTGAGCAGATGATCACCCCTCCTTCTTATTCCTTGTGGATCAGTGCCTGGTTGTCCTCCTACCCACAGTTATTCCTTCTCAGTCTCCTCTGCCCGCTATCCCTTTTCAACTTGACCTTTAATTGTTAAGCTCTACAAAGCTCTGCCCTTGGCTATTTTTCTATTTACAATCCTCTATTTGATCATCTCATCTACTGCAGGACTTTAAACTGGGTCCGTAAACTGGTGACAAACCCAAGCCTCCCTCCCCTACGTCTCCCCGATCATGTCTCCACACGGGTGTCTAACTGACCCACCAAGTTAACTCTGGGTACCCACCACCAAACTCTTTCCTCCCCTTAACAACTCCCTCTCATTAAATGGCACCTCCTTGTACTTTGTTGCTGAGGCCAAAAGTCTAGGTCTTATCCTTGTCTCATCTTTTTCCAGTATGGTTCACCTTCACTCCATTGACAAGCCCTGTTGTTTTGCCTTTCCTTCAAACTATATTCTGACTTCAACCACTTCTTACTACTTCCATAATACCACCTTAGTCCAAGCAACCATTTTGTCTCACCCTGGACTCCTGCAGTTGCCTCCTAACTGGTCTCTCTGCATCCTCCTTCGCCCTCCTACATTCTATTTTTCAGATAGTAGTCAGAGATGCAGGTGTTCAATTTGTACACTTAAGAGTATGACCTGGGTCCGAATCTTGCCTCAGTCATGGGGCAAGCCACTTAGCCGCTTGGTTTCCCCATCTCTCAACCAGGGGTAAAGAAATCTATGACAGTATTGTTTGAGCACAAAGTGAGATGGTGTGTGTATCATACTTAATGTAGTTCCTGGCTTGTAGTGAGTGCTCAAATGTGTTATTGCTACATGCTGCTCAGATTTCCTCACAGGAAGCCTTGCTACATGAACATCAGTTGAAGGGGATGCTGGTCACAAAATGAAGCAATGCCTAATTCACTGTATGTCAGCTTCGTAATTCCTGTCTGGCCTATGGTGGCCACGGAGCATCACTTCCCACCCCATCTCTGGATGCCTGTTGACAGTCACAGATGTACACACACACTGGCCTAAGAGCAGACTTTTGAAATGTGAAGGAAGATTGGATTTGAATAGCAGTTTTCTTTGCTTAACAAGAAACCACTCCCTGAAACCACTATCCTCCAGACCCAGATGGAAGCCCTGACATTCAGAAGCTCCAGCTCTGAGATAGGGTTTTGCTGTCACAACTTGAAAGAGCCAAAGGCTTGGCCAAGAGAAGATGTGGATGTGGCCAAGGGTAGAGTTATGATGTTTGTGCGCTACTATGGAATTTCCAAATTATGAAAACAAAAAAATCTCATTTTATGGAGACAGTAAACCGAAACACCATTGGCTGGAGAGTGCTTGCCCTCTGGTGAGGAATCACAAGACTGGCCCCGGCATTTGCCTTCTCTCCTTCCCTCACCCCTTCCTGGTAAACAGGGGTGAGGCAGCAAAGTCAGACAGACCTAGGGTCCAGTTCTAGCTCAGCCATTTTCTGGCTGTGTGACCTGGGACAACTATGAACCCTCTTTGAACATTGGCTCGTTCACCTATAAACTGAAATGTAATGATATTATCTATTTCATAAGGAGCTGCCATCATTGTAGAAATAAAAAGCACTATATCTAAAAAGGAAGAGGCGATAAAAGAGAGCAGTTAAGACTACGGGCTCCAGAGTTTGAATCCAGCTCTTCCACTCACTGGCTGTGCGAGCTTCAATGAGCTACTTAATCTATCTGATTGTCTAAACTGTAAAATGGGGATAGCAATTGCTCCTCCCTCCATGATACGTTTTGGGCACTAAAGGTGTTAACACACGTCAAGATCCTTGAACGGTGGCTGACACTTAGAAGGTGTCCACTTGCTTTTATTTCTCCCTACTTCCTAGGGCCCACAAGTGACTTGCTGTTACAAAGACCTTGGGTGGAAGGGAAGTCCCCAGATCAGGCAGAAGATAACTCCATTACACACTTCATAATATGAAGGCTCATTGTAATTTTGCTTGATTCCCAGAAAGCTCTGCACCTGTTAGTGAACTAACTCCTGAAAATGAGGCTGCTGGGACCTACATGGAGCAAGTCTTTCCACAGAGCTGTAAGGGAAGACATGCAGATGGACACAGGTTCTGTGCCATTTACTCTTAAGTAGCACTTACCATAACCATGCAAAATGAACTGGCTTCAAACAGCATCTGGCCTCTTGTCTCCAATAGGTTCTCCACTAAACAGCCAAAACAGACTTGGCAGCATTCAGCACTGCCCATCATATTCCTGCTCCTCATGGACCCCGGAGAGAGTCCAAGCCCCTTACCTGGTCTTCAGATTTTCATACAATCTGCCTCCAGCCCCCTTCCCTGATGCTTTCTCTTCATAAGATGTTCCCTCTGCCTGCCCACCCCAAACACACACACCACTGCCACTCTGGACTACTTACTGCCCCAAATGTAAACCATGGGTTTATATCTTTATGCTTTTTTCCATTTGGTTTGCTCAGTCTGGGTTGCCCATTGTATTTGTCCATTCTCTCAATCCTGTAAAGAAATACCTAAGATTGGATAATTTATAAAGAAAAGAGATTTAATTGGCTCATGGTTCTGCAGGCTGTATAGGAAGCATAGTCACTTCTACTTCTGAGGAGGTCTCAGGAAGCTTCTAATCATGGTGGAAGGCAAAGGGGAGTGAGGTGTCTCTCATGGTGGGAGTGGGAGCAAGAGAGAGGGAGGAGGTGCTACTCGCTTCCAAACCAGATCTCACGAGAACTCACTCACTATCGCGATGACAGTACCAAGGGAGATGGTGCTGAACCATTCATGAAGGACCATGCCCATGATTCAATCACCTCCCACCAGGCCCCCTCACCAACACAGGGAATGCTCACTCACCTGTGCACTCAATGCCACTTCATAGGTACAGAGGGTGGTCCCACCATCTGGTGAAAGAGATGCACAGTCAAGATATGGCCAGATGCACGGACGGGACGTGTCTAGATGCACAGACATTATGTGGCCAAATGCTCCATGGTACTACACACAGACAATGAGTTTTCCAAATCCTAGAGGGCTGGGACCACCTGCTATCAGGAGCCGGGGCCTCAGAATCAACAAGACCTGGTTCAGTATCACCCTGTGTTGGTAGGACCCCCCCCCAGTCCCTTCCTCCCTGTGTTCTATGATAGTGGTGAAGAGCACAAGTGTCATGTCAGACAGAACTGGGTTTAGAAAAACAAAAAAGCAACTCTGTAACCCTGGGGACATTATTTTATCTGTCTGAGCTTTAATTTCCTTTATCTGTCAAATAGAGTTGATGATGGGACTGATGTCATAAGTTGTTAGAATTAAATGAGTCACTTTGTATAAAGTGCCTAGAATGATGCCAGGCACAGAATCTGTATCCAGTAAGTGGCCACTGCCATTGTGGTTGGAAATACTCTGGCCATTTTTATTCTCCAAATTCCACCTCACATCCAGCCTCTCCATTAGCTGGCACTGTGCAGCATGCATTACTCTCTGTAAGCTGCAGAGTCATTGAATGACTGCCCAGAGAGACAAAGCAAGGTGAAAACTACATCCAATCTTTATGTTCACAGGGACCAGACCAGCAGATGCAGGGTTGGATTGGATTTGGTCATTCGTTTATTCATTCATTCAATTATCCACAATTATGTGTTGAGGGACTCTTGCATGTCAGACCCTGCTCTGGCTCTGGGACCCACAGTCAACAGCACAGAGATGCTCCCTGCCGTGAAAGAACCCACCTTCCAGAGCAGTGCTCTTCATTGGAAATCCCACGAGCACATATGTGACTATATTTTTCTTGTGGCCACTTTTTTAATAAGGTGCAAGGAAGCTTAATGATATATTTTATTTAGCCCAGTATATCCCAAATACAATCATTCTGATATGCCATCAATATTAAAAATTAGTAACTGGATACTTTACATTCTCTTCTGTGCTAGGTCTTCGAAACCCAGTATGTATTTTTCACACACAGCCCATTTCAGTTTAGACTGGCCACAGTTCAGGCACTCAGAAGCCATACGGCCTACATCTTGGACAGAGATGCTCCCTTGTGTATGTGAAACAGGATCATCTAGTTTTTTAAATTTTTTATTTTAGTCAGTATATTGAAGAGATATCTTCAATTCTATGCTTATTGCAGCATCATGCATAATAGCAAAGTTTTAGAAGCAACCTAAGTGTCCGTTAACAGATGAATGGATAAAGAAAATGTGGTACTTGTACACAACAGAGAGCCATAAAAAAGAATCAGATCCCATCACTTCCAACAACATGGACAGAACCAGAGGTCATTATGTTAACTGAAACAAGCCAAATACAGAAAGACAAACATCACATCACCTCACTTTTCTGTGGGAGCTAAGAATGAAAACAATTGAACTCATGGACATAGAAGTAGAAGAACGGTTACCAGAGGCTGGGAAGGGTAGTTAGTGGGGATAGTTAATGTAGTTAATGGGTACAAAAACGTAGAAAGAATAAATAAGACCTAGTATTTGCTAGGACCACAGAGTGACTACAGTAAAAAATAAAATAAAATAAAATTTGTTCATTTAAAGATAACTAAAAGAGTATAAATTGATTATTTGCAACACAAAGGATAAATGTTTGAGGTGATGAATAGCGCATTTACTCTGATGTGATTGTTATGCATTGCGTGCTGCATCAAAATATCTCATGTACCCTGTGAATATGTACACCTACAACGTACCCACAGAGATGAACACATTTTGTTCTCCCACATTCCACCCCTGCAAAGCTTTCACTGTTTTTCAAATCAAATCTAGGCAACAGGCAAACCTGGCTGCAGCCCCCAGCTCTGCTAATGATTAGCTGTGAAAATGTGAGCAAGAGCCTTGTTTCGTTTGATTTCCTGGGGCTGCCGTTACAAAGTACCATAAAGGGGTGGGGTACTTAAAAAAACAGAAATTTATTCTCTGACACAAACTGAAAGTCCAAAATCAAGGTGTTGGCAGGGCCATGCTCTCTCTAGAAGCTCATAGAGAGAACCCATTTCACCCTGTTCTCTTAGCTTCCAGTGTTGCCAGAAGTCCTTGGCATTCCTTTCTTGTAGATGCATCCCTGTGGTCTCTGCCTCCATCATCACAGAGCATTTAAATTTGCATTTAAATCTTATCTCTTATTGTGATTTTTGTCTCCCAGAAAAGAAGGTTTCCGGCATCAGTAAGCAGATAGAAAAGCATCATCTCAGGGGCAGGGTGGGGTGAGTGGGAGAGGGCACCCTCCTTGTGTGTCAGCAGATGCTAGCTACTGGAATCACAGCAAGTCACTTATCCAACATCTGAGTGCTGGATGCTGGGGACAGAGTGATGAACAGGATGTGGTCCATCCAGGTGCTGGGATACAGCATGAAGAGATTGCAGATTCACCTGTGCGTCTGTGTCCTCAGGTGGCATTCTCCTCTCTGTATCTCTTCTCTTCTTAAAGGACGACAGTTATATGGGATTAAGGGCCTGCCCTACTCCAGCATGACCTCATCTTAAATTGCATCTTGATTACATTTGCAAAGACCCTATTTCCAAATGGGGTCACTTTCACAGGTAGCAAGGGTTAGGACTTCAACCTATCTTTTTGGGGTACACAATTCAAGGCACAACACAGGGTTATTGTGAGGATTCAACAATCCACTGTGTGCAAATGCCCTGACATTTCAAAGAGGCTCCTTCTCTAGGCTACTTTGGATTTTCTCTGCCGGCGTCTTGGCCACTAGATCTGTGATTGGCCCTATGGCTGACAACAGCCATCTCTGGCAGCTCCCATCACTCCCAGACTTGCCAGCTTCAGGGTATGTGACTCAAACTAGAAATACACAAGAGATGACTCCCCACGGAGCAAGCTTGGCCTTTGGGGGACTCAAAGTGGGAAAGAAGTGGAAGAGGTGTTTGTCCTCCTGTAGAGCTCTGCTCAGGGGACAGAGGTCCATAAAGGTTCTTTGTGACTGTCCAGCAAGATGGAGCAACCTACACGGCTGCTGCAGAGCTGTGGACACAATAATGCATTCCTTCCCATCACCCTCCTCCTTCACCACCGCACACGCACACCCTTTCTCTCGAATCTTCTTCCCCGAGTTTGCACTCCCTCCCGCCACCCCAACCCCAGTTTGTGCATATGATCTCTCAGATTTGCTTTTCTAAAGTACCTGGACTAAGATATTCATAAAGGGAAGTTCTGTTACCTTTCCAGATTCAGTCAAATGACATCACCTTCACCCCCACTCTGACCCCAGTTCCTTCAGGCTCCCAGAACAGCCTGAACACTTACATCCATATTAGCACTTAGCAGATCACTATTAGTTGCTTCCTTGCCTGCCTCCCCCACCCGTCTCTGGCCCCTGCCATGAACTGCAATCTCTTCATGCTGTATCCCAGCACCTGGATAGACCACATCCTGTTCATCACTCTGTCCCTAGCATCCAGCACTCAGATATTTGATAAATGACTTGCTGTGATTCAAGTAGCTAGCATCTGCTGACACACAAGGAGGGTGTCTACAAAATCTCTCCCATTCACGTCCACCCTGCACCTGAGATGACGCTTTTCTATCTGCTTAGTGATGCCAGAAACCATCTTTTCCAGGAAACAAAAATCACAATAAGAGGTAAGATTTACTTTGGGAGACCGAGGCGGGTGGATCACGAGGTCAAGAGATCAAAACCATCCTGCCATCCTGGTCAACATGGTAAAACCTCATCTCTACTAAAAATACAAAAATTAGCTGGGCATGGTGGCACATGACTGTAGTCCCAGTTACTCCGGAGGCTAAGGCAGGAGAATTGCTTGAACCCAGGAGGCGGACATTGTGGTGAGCCAAGATCATGCCATTGCACTACAGTCTGGGTAACAAGAGTGAAACTCCACCTCAAAAAAAAAAAAAAAAAAAAGAGAGAGAGATAAGATTTAAATGCAAATATTGCTAAGAGAGAAAACGTCTCTAAGTCCTTAAATTCTCACTAAGGTATAAATGACTAATAGAATGGTTCTTTTCTGATAGGGGCTGGGGAGTCATGGGGTGGTGGAGGTGAAGGGACAAAGCTAGGGCAGAGGTGGCTAGACCTGGGCATTTTATTCTTACATAGAATCAACACCATGCTGCCAGCCAAAGAGCCAGCTACCTTCTGGGGGCAATCTGAAGGGTGAAAAGTGCCTCTTCCTCAAGTTAGCTCTACCATTGTTCTGCTGTGTGCCCCAAACTCCCACTTCTCCATGGATCAAGTGTGCAATGCAATGAAAGAAAGCTCACAAAGCCAGAACACCTGATTCTCTCACTGGCATTTCCATCTGCTACTGTAGGATCTTGCAAAGACTTTATTCACCCTCTCAGTTTCTTTAAACATAACATTAAGATGATTAAGACAATGATACATTCTCTGGCTTATTTACAGGGTCGTTGGAAAAATCAAATGAAGTCACACATATGAACCTGCCTCCCAGTATGTAAAGTGATTTGCACATATAAGGCATGTATGTATGTATGAATGTATGTATGTATTTGAGACATGGTCTCTCTCTGTTGCCCAGGCTGGAGTGCAGTGGTGTGGTCATAGCTCACTGCAACCTCCAACTCCTGGGCTCAAGCAATCATCCTGCCAACTCCTGGGCTCAAGCAATCATCCTACCTCAGCCTTCCAAGTAGCTGAGACTACAGGTGAGAGCCACCACACTTGGCTAATTTTTTGTACTTTTTGTAGAGACAGGGTCTCACTATGTTTCCCAGGCTGGTCTCCAACTCCTGGGCTCAAGTAAACCTCCCACCTCAGCCTCCCAAAGTGCTGGGATTACAGGTATGAGCCACTGTGCCCAGTCAAGATAGTTATTAGTTTTATAACTGTGGTGAGGATCTTTATTCATAGAAGCCTGGAGCTCTCAGGGAGGGGAAAGTCAAGGGGCAGAAATCTAGCTCTCTCTGTGTGCCTCTTAACCACTCACTCCCATGGGTGCCATTCTGCCTCTAGGTTTCTGGGGACCAGGAGTCCCTTTGCCCCTCAGGCAAAAGGGAGCTGTCACTATTTCCCTGTGTGCTGTCACCCAAAGCTCCTGTTTCCAGCCCCCACAACCCCAGGAGAATTTGCGCTCTAGGCCTTTCTCCCAGAGTCAACAGGCTCCCCCAAAATGACTAAAACTCTGCCTGAATTGGAAGCTAAGGAGCACTCAGTTCTTACCTCAGCTTTAACTTGATGGGGTATTTGCTAGACGTATGCTTTCCTCTTTGGGGGAAAGTTTTAATGAAGAAATCTGAAAAGTGAAGAGGACCACAGTGTAAAACCAGAAAAGTAAAAGCCACAGCAGTATCTCCTCCCAGGGGGTGTTTCTGTTCTCTCCAGGAAGCACCCCGAAATCTAAATTTTTCCTTTCCAACTCTGCATTCCTCCTTGTGCACTGCCATTTCTGCACTTTCAGTGAGTCAAGGCAGTTACAAAAGCCTGCCCAGGTTCAAGGGGAGGGAACACATATCCCCCGCTTCAATGCAGGTATATCCCATTATAAAAATGTCCATAGTGTAAGAGCAGCGTGAAGGATGGGCTTTATGTTGCTGTGGCTATCTTTGGAAAATACTATCTACCACACTGACTCTTTAATGATGGGGAAGAAATTTTCATTAAAAGCTATTAACTCAGGCTAAAATATAAAACAGAAAATAGTGAATTATTATAAACATTCATACTGCAAGAAAATAGCATGTTTGCCCAAGCATCCCCTTAGAATACATTTTGATAATGGTAATAGCAATTTACTAAGAGCTTCCCAGCTATAAAATGTCTCCCCATCATTACCACCTTTCATCCAGCACTGCTGTGAAACAAGTACATCCACTTCCCAGTTAGAGAGACTGAGGCCCACAGCAGTACCTCACCCTGGCTCACACATTTGTTAGTGTGAGTTTTAGGGATTCAGTCCAAGCCTTCTGACTCTGATTATGGTTTCCTGTCCATATCTGACAAGCAACCAGTTTGAGTGGCATTTAGAATCCATTTCATAGACTTTTTTTCGCTTTTTTTTTTTTTTTTGTCTTTTTGTTTTTTTCCTTTTTGTGGAGAACGGGGTCTCGCTATATTGCCCAGGCAGGTCTCGAACTCCTGGGCTTAAGCTATCCTCCAGCCTCTGCCTCCCTAAGAGCTGGGATTACAGGCGTGAGCCACAGTGC